GCGCTCAAGCAACCGCACCCGGAGAGTAAAGGTGCCGACTCAGCGACGCGGCCGTTCTCGGCGGTCCCGTGTGCACAGTGAAATCCCTCGCTGGTCAACCTATGCAGCTACGTCGGTTAAAGATCGGATAACCGCAGTACTTGTCATTTGGCACACTAGAAGATACTGCATAGTGTTTTTGATCGTGGAACAATTGGGGCTAATCCCCCCACTTACTCTCAATTAGCCCCCCGCGATAACAGACCCGCGGGAAAGTCACCAAAGGTATTTAAGTCCTGAAGCCCGAGGCAGTGTACTAGTTCGCCGGAGTATCGCGAAAAAGGCCGCAAACACAAGCACAATGGATTTTGGACTAGAAAACCACCGCACTTTCATTGGCAAAAAGGTCTCAGACTTGCCATCGCCATCATTGGTGCTCAGTCTCCCGGTCATCAAGAGAAATGTGGAGAAGCTGCATCAGGATGTCGAGAAGGCCGGAGTTGCTTTCAGGCCTCACGTGAAGACACTCAAGGTAAGATTTGAACGAATTGAATGAGAAACTAAGATTTTCTAATCGTTTTTAGAGCACAGAAGTTACGAGGTTGATGTTGGGAAATGGCAAATTCAACAAAACAGTCGCATCCACGCTATCAGAAATCAGGGGTCTGGTGCCGCTGGCGATAGAGGGAATTTTGGAGGAGGTGCTCTATGGACTCCCCGTCAGCTCGGGCGTCATCCCCCTCTTGAGCGAATACAGGAAATCCGTCAAGATCCTCCTGATGATCGACCACGATAAGCAGATTGATCTCCTGGAAGACTTCGCAAAGAAGAGCGCTGACGCACCGGCACCGTGGGACATTTTCATCAAGCTTGACGTTGGCAGTAAGCGCGCGGGCGTTCCTCTCAGCAGTGAGCGTCTTCAGAAGCTCATTCAAAGAGCGAATGAGTCTTCGGTTGTGTCACTTTACGGTTTTTACTGCCATGCCGGCCACTCGTATGGATGCAAGACGCAGGAAGAGGCGGCGGGTATTCTAGCTGATGAGGTCAATGGGGTCATCAGCGCAGCGAAGTTGATCGTCGGGGAACAGAAATTGACACTGTCCGTGGGCGCCACACCAACGGCGCATGTTGTCGGTACTCTCCAGACCGCCATCCCGTCTAACGTGACTCTGGAGTTGCACGCTGGTGAGCACTCCCCCCTTCATGCTTTTCAACCGGGAGAAAGTTATTGATATTGAACAGGAAACTTCCCGACCAATGACCTCCAGCAAGTCGCCACCGGCCTGGTGTCAATTGAGGACCAGGCTGTCAGGATAACTGCAGAGGTCTGCAGCGTGTATCCGGAGCGCAACGAGGCTCTCATCAACGCTGGCACCGTCGCTCTCTCCAAGGAAGCGGGCGCGTTCCCTGGATTCGGCAACCCGGTAGGCAAGCCTGGTTGGGCTATCGTACGCATGTCTCAGGAGCACGGCATCATTGGCGAGGTGCAAGCCCCCGGCTCCAAGAACGCTGAGCCGGAGCGCCGGGACATAGAGGCCAACTTTGAAATAGGCGAGAAGTTGACGCTTTATGTCCAACACTCTTGCATTACCGCCGCGGCGTTCCACGTTTACTACGTGGTTGATGAGAATGATGTTGTTCAGGATACCTGGGTACCATGGAAGGGCTGGTAGATGATTAAAAGTGCATCCCGGGACCTAGAATAGTGATAGAGAAAATGTTCAGCTAGACACACTGCAAAGATAAGACGTCCAAGCAAGGTTCTTTTGTCTAATGGTATCCATCCTGCGTTGACTCCGAGTCCAAATGCCCAAACCCGACATTGCTTCCCAACGCCCATCGCGACCTTAATCAAGCAAACGAAATCCATATTTGGTGCTCATTCATCACACGACAAACACTCCACGGCCCGGACCTCACAGGCGCAGCATCCTCCTCATCCCAAATATGCTGAAGCAATACAGACGTTTGACGAATGTTTCCCAGACCAATCGACGCAAAAGTGTGTCCTAGTCTTTCCCTCAAAAATGTTCTTTGCCCCTCATCAACTACACAAGACCCAATAACGGCAATTGGCCAGCAGAGACTAGTGTTTACCCTCACGGTTGGATCCAGCTGCGCCAGATGTGATAACGCTTCCGCTAGCGCCGTCTGGGTAGCCACAGCCATGATCCCATTCTCATCTCCAGACAGAGAGTGTAGGGCCGTGTAGAGATACAACGTCACAGCTTTGTGGTACACATACCCGGCCAACGCGACGTCTGGGCTGACCGCCGGGTTCGGAGTCCATGCCTGCACTTGGCTCTGCAGTTGGGCGAAGAGCATGAATTCATCTGCCGAAGGGCGCCAGCCTGGGGTGCCGGAACGGGTTTGTACTCGGCGAGCGAGGTCAAATATTGGAGGGATCAAAAGGATTAGGTTCAGCCAGGTGCCACACAAGTTGCCGACATAGGATTCCGCCACGAGCTCGGTCGCCAAGAGGGCCATGTCGTTGTCCAGGAAGTATTGGTCACTGATCCGGGCGTCTATCGAGATCATGCTGAGCGTGGCTGTGTATACGTAGTATTCGACGAGAAACTGTCTCATGGACTTTGGGAGGGAGATGAGGAGGGGGAGTGAGGGTACGATGAGCGACTTCGCTGCGATGAGATGGTCGTAGGTTGTGCCGTTGATATCGCCTTTAGCTGTCTAGTGTGGCTATCAGAAACCATCCGGCCTCGATGAAAGATGTCATGATGGCAAAGGGAGGGCAGCTGGGAGGTACTTACCTCGATGAAACATAGAATCAGGGCAGCTATGCCCAGTAATAATGTCTGTTCCCTGGATTGCTCGCCCATGAACTTGGAAAGGTTCTGCTGGAACAATCGCAGCGACCGATCATAGTATGTGTTGGCGACACTGTCGAAGTCATTCAGAGACTTTGCGGCCCGATGAACGGCGCTCTGTGCTAGAAGAAGCTGCAAGACGAGGTCGCTCTTGAAAGCCATTGGTATCAGCTGCTCGCTGAAGGGGTTCTGTACTGTGGAACCGTTGGCCATGCTGATTGTCGTAGCAGCCAGGTAGTGGCTCAGCAGCTCCATTGAGAAGCTATCGTTAGTTCCAGGTAGAAATGAGAGCGTCCTTGGAACTTGCGTCACTGGACTCGCCGCAGTTCTCACAGGCGACGCCGTGACCAGGCTCGTCGGAACCTCCGGGGTTTCCTCATCTTGACGACTGCTCCCAGGGACGGCTGGCGTAGGAAAGGAGAGAAAGTCTAGTGATGCCAAGAAGTCGAGAGGGTTCTCTGGTGATGATTGCGGATCATTCGGGTCTGCTGCTGAGGCTCGCGTTGGTGGCCGTGGACTCGATCCCGTCGACGCGCCGCTCGGTGACTCTGACGATTGAGACGGCGATGTGTTCTGGCCCATTGGCGAAGAATGTGAGGGTTGGTTGCTTTGGCGAGGCGGAGACTCCTGCATGCTGGGAGACGCCTCTGACTGGGCAGAAGCGCCGGCAGATTCGCCGCCCTCTTGCCGCGCGGTCTCCGATGCGCCGGCCGGCTTCGGCGGGGCGGTCTTGGGGGCTGCAGACGGGGGCCATTTGCACTCGAGCCGGTTGCGTTCGCAGCCGCGGCACCGCGGCTTCGTCTCATCGCACTTCTTCTTGCGGCCGCGGCACGTCAGACATCCCGTGCGGACGCGGAAGATGGGCCCAGCGAGGGTGCGGCGGGGTTTTGAAGAGTTCATGTCCATAGGATCGGCATCGGGCAGGGCGCGCGTCGCGGCGCCCAGGCTCTGTGTTTGAGACCAGAAAAGTTCGATGGAAGTCTGGGCCTGATAGCGAGATGACCCAGAGTGTGTGATGAGGTGATGTGTTGAGGCGATATCCAGCCCCCCAATTGGCGACATGAAGTTGAACGAGGAGCTGTTTTGCATGGGCCTGATAAGGAAAGATTGCGGGGGTCGTTGGAGCGCGGTCCGTCGCATTCACAAAGACCCGCTGGCCCGCTTTTGGGCCGGAGCCATCGCGGTAAAGGTTCGGATTGGTCGGAACGATGCCACGCTACTCCAACAGGGACATCCCGACGAGAGATCAGGGGGATGACTTATGTTGCATTGGAGGTTTGGAACCACGGAAAAGAGACTTGGCCCAGGCGAGACTGATGCCAAGGTGGAAGTGCGGAGAGATGTGCTTCCCCCAGTTGATCCACCTGTTGATGGTGTTGTGGATATGGGGAAGCAGTTGGCGCGCCTTTCTATGTGTTGTGAGTTGTAATTTGTGAGGCAGAAATTCTGGCTAGGTGGACACTGTTCACCTCTCCGTCGACCAAGTGAAATACAACTTCGGTAGTATGCGATGCAGTGAGCGGAGGTGATGTTGGAAGTGTGAATAACACTGACAGATAAGGATGGGCCCAATCTAACGTTCTTTACGAGGTTATTGCCGCGTTTCTTTTGGAGATTGAATCTTTCGCCTAGATGAGAAGCAACGGATTCTCGGATTTCAGATTTTAGTCACCTGCGCTGGTTGAGTTCAATAATTTTGGAGTTAAAAGACTTTTATCTTACCAGTCGCCATAAAGGCGACTGAAGACAAGAAAGGGGTTGATACCAAGAGTTAAGACTGAGCTAATCCAAGACATCCTTATTAAGTTCCCACCGCCCTGATATTTTACCGTTAGGAGACACCCGAGTGACCGACTTCGACCAGATCATGTTTCTGAGAAATAAGAGTGAGGCCATCTTTTAGGTGTGTGAAATTGGATGACCGTATTGACTTTGACATGACGGATGCGGAAAGGACGAATTCTACGACTCCGGCTCGACCCAGGAAGACCGGCGCTTGAATCAGACCATGTGGCAAAGCTGAACGCCTCCATAAGCGCCTCAACCCACGTTTTCGGGCTACAAATGAGACAAGACTGCCTAAATTCCAACTTCCGCTGCTTAAATAGTCTGCCTTTCCCTTACTGTTTATATCGACGCGTACATCGACACCTCGGACAAGACAGTTCTCCCAAGAAACATCACAGCAGCGAAATCATGGCCATAGGCGTTGGAGAAAATACCGCCAAGTTGAAAAATGACCTTGCCCTCGCCAATCTTGAACGGCTCGCCCAACACAAGCCCCCATCACCGCCGGACGGTCTCCCTGGAGGCCCTCCTATCTGGGATCGATGCAATCTCGCATTGGATCTCCTAGAGAAATGGCGCGCAGCAAAGGAAGGCAACATCAGTCAAGCAATCAACGCGCAAGTCTTCGGGGGCAAAGGCCCAATTTCATGGCCTATCGCTTTCCTTCCCTTCATGCAAAGCATTGCGATGTACCTCCGAGACTTCAGCCTCCTGCTGCGAGCCTGGCAAACATATCGTTACCACAAGCAGAACAACTCACTTGACCAAGGCAGAGATTAGGCGCTTGAATTATGCCATGCCGCGTATAACCCAATTTAGCAATTAGCCCAATCCCTGGGTCTCAAGTTCTTCGTCTTCTGCGACCCTGATCCACGCCGCCCCCCGGAAGGACACCCGCTTTGGAATTGACCCTGTTGCAGAGCATTCGTCTCGACCGAGTCGCAGAAAGCAAAACCGTTTGCTAGCATCGCTTTCAAAGGCAGGAATTCGCTGAGCCTAGCTCAAGTCCTTGTTGACTACAACTACCAGCTTACAAAGGCCAATGGCTACTTCCAAAATCAAGAGGTCTTCCTCAGCGTTTACACGAGCATGTTTGGCAAGTACGACGCCATGGAAGACATTACCTACGAGTACGTCCTTGCGGCATTCAAAGTCTGCATGGACAAGATACCGACGGCGACCTCCGGTAGCCTGATCCGAACACACGTCACGGGACACTCTTTTGGCGGGTCCTATTCCTCCTTCTGCTACGCTCAGATGCTCATCGATGACGCCAAGCTCACCCAGAACAAAATACAAATGGGCGACGAATGCACCTTCAGATGCCCCCGCGTTGGGAGCAACGATTGGGCAGCTATGAATCAAGACCTCGTGTCAAAGAAAGAAGGTCAATCTTGACGTATAGTGAACGACAAGGACCTCGTCCGACAAGTCCTTCCAACAACTTTGAAGCCCGATCAGTCAAACTTCTGTCACATTGATAACGGCTTGAGAATTTTCAGTCATCAGACTCCTCAATCTATCCCAAGTGAAATAGAGGGCCCAATCCCACCCTTTATCAACTCAAAAACTGGGAAGAGATCCTCAAGGCTGTCTATCAATCAACGTATCACTGTAAGTGTCTTTTGGCATTGAACTATATTATATTTCCACTGACCTCCGGTGGCAGTACCGAATTTCTACTACGATGCACTCAAATACGCCGTGAAAATTACGCGATGAGGTTCAAGCATCTTCTTGCTGTGATGAAAGGCGACTCCGCATCGATGGCAAGCACTCTTCTAAGACTGTTGATTATTAGCCAAGAGTGTCGGATCTTATCGAATTGCACCCCCACTAGCTATTTCTTATCGCAATCGACACCAATATGCAAACCTTTCTTAACATCTGAAGCGTGTGGGGGGCGTCAAATTCATATGGATGCTTATTTTGGATATGTGCTGGTCCAGATCCCTGTTTGCGGCCAGGGCTGAGCCTCAATCACACCCTACATCTGCAGTCAGCTTTAGTGTTTACTCAACCGTGTCCAATAGCCCTGGTGGTTCGCGGATACGGGCTCACGTGTAGGAGCGATGCGACAAATGGAATTAGCTTACTTCTGCCTGAGAGACTTTTCTCAAAGCGGCACAGCAACTTGCTGACACCACATAAGAAGGAAGAAGTAGTGAGACATCTCGATTTTGATTTCTCATTCTTGGTCTCGTCATTCTTTCATGATGTGAATGCACAGCTTGGAATTCAACATGCATTCATCTTGGTTCGAGTATTCAATAACAAGGCCGTACCCCTTTCGATGGTTCACGCCCGCGGCCATCGTTGGTGGCCTCATTCTAGCAGTTGTGTTTACGCTAGTCAATTTCAGCTCCAACGGCTTTTACCTCAAAACCATCTACACCAAAAGCCTCAACACCACCGAAGCATCCTTTACTTCGAGGTACTATCTTGTGTCCTACAGGGCATACCCCTGCGACTAATTTTAAACTATTGTTCACAGATGGTTCCAGAAACGGCCTTTCAATTGGCAGAATGATATGAATGCTGAATGTCAGCCTCACTTGTTGACGGTTGGGAGTTCTTTCTTCACCTCTAATCTCGGGTTTAATTACAAAGTCAAAAGCATCAAGCCTCGACAGACGGACACCGAACGTCTCGTACCCCATCTTACAAATCTACCTGCTATCGGCTACAGGAATACGACTCTCGAAGACTGTCACCTTGATACACTCAAGATCAATCTCATCAAAAGCGACAACACTCAGGGGCCTTCATGGTGGCTTTCATGGGGGCGGTTCACAGTAGCCGCTAATCTTCGCTGTATCATTATTTCCGACTCTGGACTCGTAGATGTCACTATCGACGCTGAATATTCGGGCGAAAGTGACGCGGTTATCCACGACTATGTACTTGATGATGATTACGAAACCAGTTCAAGCGTATGGTGGGGAAGTCGACTCTCCAACGCCTATCTCGGCGGCGTTTTGACTGCGACCTCTCAGGTTGTTGTTACTAGGGATAACCAGTACCTCACCTCTGCTCAGCTGTCTTTTACTGCAAACACAACAACCAAAGAGTTTGTGATATGCTGAATCTGGGGGTGTCAAAGGTGCTGATTTGCACATAGTATCCGGTCAAATAGCTTCTTCAACCTACAGTGGTGGCTGGCCTTTTCTAACGCCGGTATTTCGCATAGCGGGATGCAAGATCTTGGGGATACTGGCTACGACTCTGATGTAAGTCCGACTCAGAGACTCTATGGACCATAATCCGTGCAAAGAACTGGTCTAACTATGCTTTAGTATTTCGTCGCGGCACCTTTTGCAGAAGGTCTGCATTACGCCAGACTCATGCACTCCCTGTTTGCCATAGATCTTGGCAACTGTAACTCCTCAAATCTTCTTCTAGATGAGGAAGGGCTTCAGTATGTAATCATAGCTCCAGACAACAAATTTCGAAGAAAGGGAGGATTGCTCAATGACACAGCAACCATGAGCGGCTTGAACCCTGGCCGTTTCAACGAAATCCCAGCTCCTGGTGCAATACTTGACGACGGAGGCGATATTGATCTCACTCCTTTGAAAGAGACTTATGCCAAGTTCCGGTCAAAAACAGGTCCTCTGTCATGCAACAATGCCACTATCATGGCCGAGTACCTTTGTTCGGTGCCTCAGCAAAAGAGTCCCGGAGTGATGTTCTTGGCCATTTTGTTGGCTGACCTGGTATTCCTTCAAGCAGCCTGGAAACTGTTCCAACTGGCGGCTGGGTCCGCAGCAACTCGCGGGAACCCGGATGCAATGGTTTGCAGAGGATGTTCGACTACATGGCTGGGAGACACTAGCATGGAAATGGTTCCATTGAGGAGCGAGGTAGGGGAGCCCGACGCGAAATCTTCTCTGAAATCTAGATCTCCATATACAAGGCTGAGTGACCCAGACCTTTCCGCAGACCAAATAGGTAGATAAATGTTACAATTGGTACTTGGCCTAGGCATCCCCCTCACAGCTCCTCTTCCAATCAGCCCTATTTTCTCCATCAAGCTACTTCGATGTATCGCCGAAACTCCCTGTGATGGTCAGCCTCATCCCACAGCTTCAGAAAGAGGTCTTGCCAATCAGTGACTGCTTCTCTCCACACACGCAGCTCATGTTCTCTCGTAGCAGCAAAGAAATCCACAAAATCGTCCCCAAGGATCTCTCTGGCCAGACTATCAGGTGCCTTGAATCTGTGTGTTGCCTCAAGGAGGGAGTCAGGAAGCAACTCTGGCTTTGTGTCTTTGCGTTGGATCTTCGCGGGCGGGATGGGTATATCCAGCTTCTTCATAACACCTCGCCAGCCCGCAGCCACGATCGCCGTGAGAGCGTAATGGGGATGCAGATCGGCTCCTGGGATGCGCACTTCAAATCGTGTCGCCGCTGGTTTGCATACTGGAGGCGCAACCAGGCGCACGCTAGCAAGGCGATCCTCGAGACCCCAACTGACATCTACGGGGGCCCAGTAGTTCTCCACTAAGCGCTTGTAAGAGTTGATCGACGGTGCCAAAAGAGGCATAATATCTGGCAGAGCTACGAGGATCCCGGCGAGAAAATATCGACCAACGTCAGATAGCTGCGCGATGTCTGGCCATGCGGCGGTTTGATCGGGGGGACCCGACAGAGCGAATACGTTCTTTCCGTCTAGATCAGTCAGAGACACATGGATATGCCCAGAGTTGCCTGGAAGACCCTGGGATGGCTTGGCAAGAAAGCAAGGCGTCACGCCGTGTTCCACTCCGAGCGATTTGGTGGTCAGTCTGCTGATATTAGTAGCAAATTCGACATCATTAACACAAGTTCACTCACTTGAAAATAGAAACCTTGTCTGCCATCTCATCGATGGGACTGACTTTGAGAGCCTCAAGATGCGCATCACCGTTAGGAATACCTTCAACAGTTGAACTCATCCTTCAAACAATATAGGGCGACTTACAGCTTCGTAGACGCCGGGACCGCTCTCCGTATGCCAGCTTTCCAACCCGCAGTTGGCCTTCTTGCTGGAGTCAAATATCTCATGGAAGTACTTCTTCGAGGCTATCGGCCGTGATGTGCTGTAGCCAAACATGCCGCCCGTAAGAGGACGCAATGCCGAAGGTGCGTTTTTCTCCAGGAACGTGGACAGGTTTTGTCTGCCCTGTGGCGATCGATATCCGTCTTCTGACGGTGTCTGAAAGTTCATGAACTCGAGCTCCACTACTCAACGTCAGTTCTATGGTTGCCACTGTACTGTAGAAAAGCGCAAGGTCAATGGAACCTGCGAAGAGTTACATACCTCCAGCAAGGGCTTTGCACCCTGCCTCTGCTAACTTATCACATAGTTGACGAATCATGCTACGTGGGCAAGCGAAGACCGGCTTGCCACCTACAGCAAAGCTTAGAAGGAAGAAAGGGATGTTGTCCTCTGTGGGGAGTCTCCGGAAGGATGATAGGTCGGGGTAAGCAACAAAGTCGGCAAATCCGTCTTCGCTTGTTGCTATCTTCGTTTCTGTCGTAAACAACACATCGTGGATGTCCCAGGCAAAGATGGCAGAACTCATGCCAAATCCGCTGGTAATACTAGACAAGAACTTCTCCTTGTCCATGATCTTGCCTCGAAGGATACCGTCGGCATCGACTCCTGCGACCCTGACCTTTTCATCATTTGCTAGAATGGCCTCGATGTTGTCCACGGTTGCGATAGTGTTGGCATATGTGGCGCTTCGGAGGGTACATAATGTGGCTTGTGACTGCTGGTCCATTGCTGTTGATCGAAAGAATATTGCATGCAGAGGATGATGTCAAGGTGCAGTTGGAGATCAAGGGGGTGTTCTTGACTCTTTTCAGTTGTAAAGGAGTAGAAAAGGGCCGGTACAAAGTCTTCTTTCCGCTCGAGCTTACATGGATGTCGTTTGCCCTGCAGATTCAGACACGCCGCCCAGTAACATTGGCTTGCGGACTGGAAGTTGCTGAAGTGACCATTTCATCCGGCTGGCTACAATCCGACGCCGAAGACCCGATGTCCGTTGTGTGCGGGGGACACGATGCGGGGCGATCGGGCGGCGCGGTCCGAGACCGCGATAGCGCGGTTTCCCATAGTGCCATCGCGCTCATCATTCCATCATTGCTGAGCAACACCATGTTTGGAGAGAGCGGTGAGATTGTGGTGACCCCTGAATACTGTCGGTCTTAGCGATGAAACTCCGTGATCGAGTCGGAGACGGCAAATGTTGGCCCGGTCGGGGCTCATGATACCGACAACATTCTCTTATCGCGGCAACGGTCTGACGATGCCCCCCTACAGCTCGGTAACCAACGGTTCAGCCGAATTCACTCGCCAGCAATGATTTGGTGAGGCTACGCATGCCGATAAGCTTTATATCAGGACGTACAGCAGACAATGCATCAAATCCCAGAGTTACGGTGATGCTTACCAAAAACTTCTGATAACCATTTTCTGTCCGGGACATCACCAACTGGTTTCCTTCAGTTCAGAGCCAAACTTCTTCCATAATGTCTACCACTACCATTCAAACGATCTCTCCATCAACTAATAAGGTCCTTCTCAACACTCCCAGTACGAGTCTTGAAGACGCGAAGGCCATCGCCAAATCTTCTCAGGATGCCTTCCAAAAGTTCAAGCTGCTGTCTCTGGCGGAGAGGAAGGAGATGGTGATGCGAGGCTTGAAGCTCATCCAAGAACGCAAGCATGATCTTGGGCGCGAACTCAGTGAACAAATGGGTCGCCCTATTGCGTACAGCCACAAAGAAATTGAGACGATGCAGAAGCGTGCCGATTACCTTCTCGACATCGCCGAAGAAGCTTTGCGTGATATACCAGGTCGTCCCGAGGCAGGGTTCAAGAGACGGATCAAGAAGGTCCCAGTTGGTCCGACTCTCGTGGTATTCGCATGGAACGTATGCCGATATTCTATGAACGGTCGGGAATTTCTGTGTAGCTGACCAAACCCCTTCTCAGTTTCCGTACCTTATCATCGTAAACGCGCTAGTTCCGGCACTCCTGGCTGGAAACACCGTCATCTTGAAGCCGTCGCCGCAAACACCTTTGGTCGGCACACGAATCGCCGAGATATTTGCCGAAGCTGGTCTGCCTACAAACGTACTCCAAATAGTCCAGTCCGGAGATCCTACTGTTCTCAACGAACTTGTGAGGATTCCCGAGATACAAGCGGTGAGCTTCACCGGCTCGACTGCGGGAGGGTTGGCTTTGCGTGAAGCCGCGGCTCGTCGCACGATACCTCTGAACCTTGAGCTTGGAGGAAATGACCCGGCATACGTGCGGCCTGACGCGGACTTGAAATACGTAGCAGCTCAGCTTGTGGATGGCGCCGTCTTCAATTCGGGCCAGAGCTGCTGCGCTGTGGAGCGGATTTACGTGCATAAAGACATTCATGATACTTTTGTCCAAGAGCTGCAGGATGAGTTGAAGACGTAAGTCTGGAGAAGAGTCTAATTGGTGACTGGTGTAACCCCGCTGATACAGCCCAGGTATAAACTTGGCGATCCGCTTGATGCGTCAACTAACGTTGGGCCCGTCATTTCACGAGCGGCTCAAAAGTCGATTGAACAACAAGTGGAAGATGCACTCAGCAAGGGCGCCCGTGATGTCACGCCGTTCAATGCCACATTTGAGAACCATTCCGCTGACGGCAACTATGTGATTCCGCGGATCCTCACAGGCGTCACACATGACATGATAATCGCGAAGGAGGAGACTTTTGGCCCGGTTATTCCTGTGATATGTGTCCAGAACGACGATGAGGCAATCAAACTCATGAACGACACAGACTATGGCCTCACTGCAAGTGTTTGGACTACGGATATCCCCCGTGGAGAGGAAATGATTGAGAGTCTCGAGGCTGGCACTGTGTTCGTCAATCGTTGTGATTACCCCAATCCGGTAGGTCTCAAGTGCCCAAGAATGGAAATACAGTGCTAAATTGTGTTGCAGGATCTTGCTTGGACTGGCTGGAAAAAGTCTGGGCTTGGGTGCACTTTGGGGCCGAAGGGGTTCGATTTCTTCGTCAAGTTGAAGAGTTATCACGTTAAGCAGCAGCAGGCTTAGGACCGAGGTGTAGCAAAGACCTCTTTCATATATTTTATTTGTTGTGAAGAAAAATTCCGCTGTAGATCTCTGTATCGTTCCAATTACGAAAGATTGTCCAGGCCAGAAGTTAACTCGCCAAGTTTGAATACTTACCGTTAATGGTAACCCAATAAAATGCAAGGATATGGGATCTTGTTTCTAAGAAGCTCTCAACATCGATAATTGTATGGCGATTCGCGGATAGCATAGTGCTTTCATCACCTGACGGGCCCGCGCAATATCATGGACCCCATCTCACTAGATATTTGAGGTCATGAGTATGCGGCATCGACGTGCAGCGCCAGCAGCGCGGTCTCTCGTGAAGGAACGGAGATTCGGGGCGGCCGCGGTCCGGAACCCCCACGTCGGCATCGAAGCCATCTGATAAGCAAACATATCCCAACACCACAGTACTCGGAGCTTTGATCGGGAAGCCGCCGATGACGTTCAAACAACCCCGCGCAAGTGACATGGGCTCAGGGCTCCGCACATTCACCAGAAAGCAGCTTCGTCGCGGTCGGCGAAATTGAGATGCGATCAATCTGAGGCGGACAAGCTACATAAAGGCCTGATGACAATCCTTATGTATCAGCGAAGCTCACTAGATATCAAGGCACCAGACAAAGCCTGAAACTCCGTTCCCCTTTAAGCCCTCAGCTGTTTCTACTTCAACCTGCCCAGTCGTATAAGGATCGCAGCATCATGTCAGGCAGACTCGAAGGGAAGAATATTATAGTTACGGGTGCCGCTGGGTATGCCACGTTTCTCCCATTATTTTTCTGCTCCTGGTAACACCAACTGACAAGTGTATGG